TTTTGCAATAAAGTTAAAGTTGCGCTAAGGAAGTAGATTGTAGCACTAGTGTTTGAGGTCAAAAATGATCCAATTAGCGAAGGATTCTTGGTGAACCAACTCTCAATAGTTTAAACCCAATTGAAGGTCAATCATGATGGTGGCAACAGAGTTTTTACACAGCATAGATTTTCTATGATAAAACTGTTTTATAATAGTAGCTAGCTTCTTTTACGTTACCATTCTAGGGCCTCTGGTGCTTTATGGGTGAAGAAGAACTAGGCCCCACAATGGGCACCAAATGTTAGCACTAAAAAAAAAAGAAAAAAAGAGAGAGATCGTATAGAATCAAGTACTTTATTGGTCAAGGAAGAAGAGAACTTACAATGGAGAGAGAATGAAGAAAAATAATCCCTTTCGTATGTCTATTGGGGAATTTATAGGATATTATATAAAATCATTCTATGATTGCAATTCTAGTTGGGTTGGTGTTAAGTATTCTAGTTTTAATGGGATTTAGCCTATCTAATCTAAGTAGAATTCTTTTATGATGCCTACACGTGTCCTAACTCTCATAGAACTCAATTTAGGATATAACAATTTTCATTTTCCAGTCATGTTTTCAAAATTTTCCATTCTTTAATGAAAATCAAAAGAAAACTCTTTTCTATGAAAAGAAAAGGAAAATGAAAAATAAGGAAATTAATTCTCTTGCCCAACACGCTAATTTTCTCTTCTCTAACTTCACATAATTAGTAGCCTCGCACTCTAAAGATCACTGCAATTTCTCTTCCTCTCTTTTTCACTTAAAATCTCTCCCAAATGGAAAGAAATCTTGTTTTAGTCACTGATTTCTCTTTGATTTCTTTTATTCAATTAATAGTCTCAATGGTAGTATTGGATACTCAAGTACTATCTAATTTTTGGCAATTTTAAGACCAAAAGTCTTTCTTATTCTATGTGATTTTGGATTGTTTGTGTTCTTAATATTATATGTAATTAGGTATGTCTTTAGCCTTTTTTTTGTTCTATTGCTAGTGTTAATCTTCATGTTGAATTTCCAACAATGTTAGCTTCAAAAAATTTTGTTCAGTTCTATGTTTTCCTACCTTGCTCTGAGCACAATTTTATTGTTGAATTCTACATCTTTTCACTTGTAATCCTAGTAATTTTCTAGTTCCAATTTCTCACTATTTTTTTTATTATTATTCTACCCATGCATTTGCATTCAACACTTGTATTTGGTTGCCAAGAATTTATTTGCACTTTTAATTTTAGACTTTTGATTTAGGCCTTGCCAAGCATTTATCATCATATGATTACTATTTTTCTACTCAAAATTGTAGTTGGATAAGGTGCATTTCAAGAGTTGATTTTATCCACTAATCTAGGTTGTATATAACTGTTGTTTCTTCCTCTTAACATTAACACTAAAAAATAGAAGAGATTATGTGAAACCAAGTACTTTATTGATGAAGGATGAAGAGAGCTTATGATAGTGAGAGAATGAAGAAAATAATTCCCTTTCTAAGTGTAGCATTGAGATATTTATGGGATATTATATCAAATCATCTTTAGGATTACAATTCTAGTTGGGTTATTATTGGATATTCTAGTTCTAGTGAAATTTGGCTCATTTAATATTGACAAACTCTTTAAGATGCTTGCATGTGTCCTAATCCTCATAGGACTTTAGGGTAGGCAAAAGGTATCCATTTGCCCCTTAACTTTTCGAATTTGAGGGTTTTTACCCTCCATATTACACAATACATGAATTTTTACCCTTCATATTTTCGAGTTTGAGGAAATGAGGCAAAATTTAACGGTAAAAAATCACGTGCGACACGTGCATGTTAATCTCCGTTATACCTTGACGTGTCAATGCTAACTCAGAATTCTTTTACATGTTGGCAAGTCCAGGTCAGATTTTATGATAATAACTAAAAAAAATAATAATATAAAAAAAATCTTTTTTTTTTGTTTTTTTTTTTCGAGTTTGAGGAAATGAGGCAAAATTTAAC